GATTGATAAGAACTGCATAAACGAACGACTTTTTCGGTTTATCTTAATTGCAGGTGAAAATACCAACAGGGATTTTGACAGTTGATTTGAAAATTCCCTTAAACGTAACAAAAATTCCAAAGATTTTTCTTTTCGAACAAATTACTTAAGCAGGGTTGTAATATTAAGCATTGTACATTAGAATTTGAAAACATATTAATCGCGTCAGGATTTCGGCCTTTAAACCAGTTTCTCTCCGGCTGGCCGACAAAACGCCACTTTACAAACAATGAATACCTATGCATTATGCTTTTTCTCATTGATTTCTGATGGCTTAAACATTTAACTTTATAAGTAAAGAAGCATACCCAACAATATTTTTTCTTGTATTCATTTCATAGCAAACTATATATCTTTCAGTTTTTATACTTAGAAAGTAGATCTTGCGGTTTTAACAGAAACTTTCTTAATTGGCAAATAGATTTGAATCTGATCGGTCGTTACACTAGCTTTCAGGATTCCAAAGCAACATGCTGCATACATTCCGTCCAAGAAAATTCCCCAATGCACCTACGCTGTTAAGCATTTCAAAAAATGAACGAACTCTCAGCAGAAAATTTGTTTCATTTTACTGGCTTCCGCTCAGCTAACGAGTTGTCAGTGCTTGTGTATGCCCGTGTCCACCACTGACTCTTGTTCCCAGAGCGTGGGTCCTCGGTCACCTGTAGCTAATCAGTGAACCGATGCAGTTGGATTGACTATTTTCGCAAGAGGAGCGTTTCTCACGAAAAGCTCGGTGCCGGAAGGGATTAAGTTCATTAACGGAGGTTCCACTGTAGTTTCAACTGATTTTTCATTGACAGAGTCATGCAGATAGATCGTCTTCCCAACAACTGGCAATAGGCCTGCTTTTGCTGGCACCCGGCAAATATTAGAGCGGTCTGAAGGGAATTACATATTAGTGGCGGACGTTTCAAAACACCTCAGCTGAACGCGGTTGATTACCAGATGAACGCCACGCGGACTCTTAATTCAAATGCGAAAATCCGCTTCCAGCCCACAATAAAGCTGGGTCCCTGACTGCAAATCTGACAGTTCGGCAATCAGGTTTAACGAGATCCACGGTGTGCCCTACAGCATAATGGCGTAGGGACGGTGACTTGCGCGTGAGTTAAATTACGGTGAAAGTAGACTTTAATTGTATCTACTGCACTCTTTTCTGCTCCACACCTGTGCCTGGGGTCATAACCAAGTCAAGAAAAATTGGGATGGCAGGAGGTGCCGGTGGTTGCCGTGGCCGGAGCCATACCACGGTTGGTTAATAATCCTAAAAAACTATGCTTAGGTCCTATTTTCTTAGTTTTTTCGAAACGACTAGTGTTATTAAGGAATCTTCTGTCGGATGAAGTTTTCCTCTCACAACGGATATCTGTTGAAGCTTAATCCGATAACTGCTTCCGTGAGATAACGAAGTTATACTTTAGACATGTATGAATTCCATCTTATGAAGTAATGTTGACATGCATGTAAAGGAATCATCGCGGCTTACTTTATGTTCATCACTGACTTATATTTCGAGTCAAATCTGACGATCCTACGATCGAAGTGTATTAATTAGTAAACTAATAGAAGGACGACGTCGCTTATGTCTTCTATCCTGCGTGAAGTCCACATTCTGCAAAGTAAAGCAATCAAATTCTCATTTACATTATTCGAAGCAGGAAACCGTCGTAAGAGTGCAAAATTAAATTTGATATTTTTCTCTTCACAGTGTGTATTACTACCTGGCAAACAATCGTATAAAAGAGCAAGCCAAACGAGGCCAAATATGCGGTGGCTTCCATCAGAGGGAAAACAGCAATGGGATAACGCCAACCGTGGTAGTATTAAAGTGTTATACTGTTATACTGGATGCAGATGAACAATCTGAAGTAGTTAACTGGTTTTTATGCTTCAACTGTTCCGGTTCCTACCTAAAGTTAACGTCCCGATGACTTATCCCATGAATAATCCATCACAAACGAGGCATTTGAACGCGCAAGGCGTTCTTCTATGTCGATACCACAATATGACTACCAATACCAATTCATGAGCACACTGATAGCTATGAAAAGCAGTAATAATAGGGAACGAGAGTAATTGGAGTTCTAGAGCTGTGGCAGCAACTCGGCAAGTGACTAGCCAAGGACACACAGGGCCACCAGACCGCGTGAAGTGGTTCGCCCAAACAGCGTAATCGCAGCTCAAGCCAAGGGCGCAAGACTGCCCCCTCCTTCCGCATTCCCGCAATATAAGGACCACAATTGATATAGTTCTTTCCTAGTTTATGAAAATATGATGTTTTCCAATCAGCAGGCCCCCAAAAAGTGCACTGACCTGTCCGGTTAGGCACCTTTTTCCTTTAAGTTAGCGTCAATCAGCTACTTCGTGAAATGTTAATCGAAGGTCTGAAAGCTGTTTTATTTTCGAATAGAATAATTAAGTAGAGCTGTAAAAGTAATTATCGTACAGCAGAATTCCAAAATATTTCAGTCACCTCAAGTAACGGCTTTTGAATAATCATCTTTCAGCCACCGCATTCTATAAAAAGGTCCACTTAAGTAGCATGCATATTCTTCATTAATTTGCAGTGGCCTTATAAATTCATATATACATTTTCAAATAGAAGCTCACTGATTGGTTACAAGACTCACTCATCCCCTTCTGTGCCTTCGGAGCTCACGTTCAAGCGGCGCCGCCAGGCAACTAGCGATAGAGACACAATGTCATTACCCAAAAAGAAAAGGGAGACTGAAATGGCTAGCTCTGCCTTATTAGCCTTCATCAGCCAGCCATACCCAATTCAAAGTTGTGACCCACCGGAGGTTCGAACCCGCGAACGTGGTAGTTGCAAGTCCAACGCTCCAACTATGGCGCCACGGGCTAGTTGGCATGTCTAGCCTCAGCTATGTTGAATGAGGCTTCATTCCGTAGCACCTGCGTTTGTTACTCCGTTAGCTCCTTGGATGACAGGTTGTGCACCAGTTTGTCATCTTTGGATGACGTTGAACTAGGTAGCTTGCGAAAATTGATTTCAAGTGCTGCTTCGCGCTTTGCTTTGTGTTCGCCGGCTCCTTCGGCCACCCTCTGCTGGAGCAGTTGTGTACCATTCCCGCCTTTGAACTTGAACCACTTTGCCATCGCTTCATCGATCCTCTGACGGTACTTGCGAAGCCTCGCGTAAGAGTCTTGAAGGATCAATCGGATCATAGGCCTGTCGTGCTGAAGTTCTGCGCATCTCACTAACTCTATATTAACCAGAAGTCTGTACGAAACACATTTTGGTAACACATTATTGTCCAGACACCTGTGCAGGAATCGAATCTATGCATAATTAGACGACACCGAAGGGCAAATATTTCCCACCGTCAAGCCCATCGGAGCGCATCGCGACCAAAGAAATTGCTGATACCAGCGAATATGCGAGTTCCAGGAAGCAGTTCAGGAGTAGAAAACGCGATCGCTGGAACAAGACGTTTTATTTGCCTGACGTTTCGGATCCGGTCGAAAATCCTTAATCATAGGTAACCGTAAGATAATGAGACATGCAAAGATTGGGGTGAAACGTGCACAGATTGCGCGGTACTTATTGTTCGTGGTGGCCACCCGCATATGAACTATAATTAGCAGCTCCTGTAACCACCGCTTGAGTCGTATCTAGTGCGGTTACGGCTTGCCAGTTTGCTTTCGAGTCATTAATTGCCGAAATTTCGTTGTCTGTGTAGGATGCGGACATGATAATTAAGCGACAATTATGTTCGCTGTCGTCAGAGTTGTTGTTATGTCCGATCCTTCCTGCTATAACGATGGGTTCAGCGTCGTTAGTGTTAAAACGATGGCATCTGACGTGTGTCACCGTTGACTACGCCCTGTTGAAATCCCCAAGGAAGAACACAATAAGAAGGGCATAATTCTGGAATCCACCCGGAGGAGGGTTTTATTGTGTACAAAACCCGGAGAAACTGTCTCGGGTGGCTGTGCCGCTGGGTTGATCTCCAAAGTCCTCACTATTCGGTGTGGCTACAACTCTTTCTGTCCCGCCTCGGGGCGAAGCCTGGCATTGGGAGTGGACTGGCGTCGTCACGCGTCCGT